ACATCTAAAAAGGGGCTGATTTATTTTTTTCAAAAAAAAGTAAAGTTTATAGAAGGGGCTAAGCAATTTAATTTCCCAAGGGAAATGGTTTTTTATATTACATTCTTGGGCAAAAGACACAAAATATCATCAAATGTATGAACCATTTAGCTCTATTAGGGAGGATTGTGTCAAAAACCTTGTTTCAAAAAATTCCATACCAAACTTCTGAGTGTAAAACTCATCATTAAACCAATTTTTCTCACAAGATATTTTTAATAAGTTTAAGAAGTGGGAAAACCGGGCAATGGTAATATAATTAACAAGTTCTTAGATAAGAAATTTAAATAAATCATAAATGGGAAATTTTCATAAACAAGGAAAGTAACCCCAAAAACAAACCATGAAAAAATATTTAAGTCAGAAAAGGAGCTTAATTTATAAACTAAATCTATTTTGTTTTTTCATTAAATTTTAAAAATTTTTCCCCAACAATAGGCTCAAAATGTCAACAATCCTTTTGGAAAATTTTATATAAAAACGGGATCCTAGGGTGCTAAAATTGGTCGGACTGGATTACCTGGTTTGTTGTTTTTTATTAGTCCATACTTTTAAGGTAAAGTGGATTACTGGAAGAAAAATTGTTTGTTTAAATTCTTTTTGCATTTAAATAGAAGTTTTTTAATGTTTTTTGAAATTGCTTTTAACGGTTTCTGGGGGATTTTTTTTTATTTTTAGAATAGGTTTTCAGTATCATTAAAGAGATTTTTTCATTTTTTTTTGGTAATATTTTTTCATTTTTTACTATTACATTTATTTTATTGTTTTAGAAAGGGCGCAATTTTTTATTGTTATTAAGTGTTTATAAGACTTAAAAAGTTTGGGGGAAATTTGGGAAATTTTTTTTTTCAACGTAGAATATCCCTTTCCCCTACTATAAAATTTTCATCAGTGGAAAAATTTTAGTACCTATAATGGAATTTTTTTTAAAAAAAAAGGCGTTAACACAATCCTCCCTAATAGACTAAATGGTTAGATATGTTGTATTTTGTGTCTTTCCCCAAAAATGAGATACACACCATTTCCTTGGAAAATTAAATAGTTTACCCCATTCTATAAATTTACTTTTGGTTTAAAGAAAATAACCATTCCCCTTTTCTGATGTTTAAATTATTAAGGGAAATATTAAATTTAAAATTTAAAAAAAATTTTACAAAAAAACCTAAAAATAATGTTCTAGGTCCACAATTTATTCTTCACATCAAGTTAGGTTAAACGTCTGTTTTCTCATCAATGTTTTTAGAGCTTTCAAATTTGTAGTCCGAGTTCATAATGAAGAAATATCCAAAATTTATGAAATACAAATGTCTGAAATATCCAAGAAACGAATTCAAAAATTTTTTTAAAATTGTAGAAATACTTTTTACAATCCAAAAGGGACAACCAACCTTATTCAACTAAAAATTTTTTGGGTTTCCCCCCTTTTACCATGAAAATTTGGGTTGATATCCCTTGTTTTTTAAAGATTTTAATACAAAGTGTTTTAAAAATTTGATACAGAAAAAGAAACTTTTGATAAAAAATTTCCCCCCAAAATGCTGAGGGATGTGTTTAAGATTCGTTGTAAAATTTGCGAAAAAAGTGTATTGGGTCAAATAGTAAAAGTCTCGAACTCAGATTAAAACATCTAAATATAGCATTGAATGGAAAAGTTTCCCAATGCTCTATTCATTCATGTGAGAGATTTAAAACCATCCATTGGGTTTACAAAAAGTGAAAAAGTTTATAAAGCAAGTCCATGGTCAAAGGGAAATTTAAAATTAATCATTTTTCATATAAAGCATTTTTGAAAAAAATTTGAATATTTTTTTTGGTTTATAAAAGGGGATTCATTTAAAAATTAATGAAATTTGGGAAGAATTCTTGGGTAGAGTATTAGGTGTGTTTCACAGAGTCAGATGTCGTCACGCGTGTGTGAGGTGTTGCTTTGTTGTGGGATGTGATGGTGGGTTATCTTACCCTTTTTTGCCTTCCTTTGTGTATTGTTTTTATAGTTCCTTTATAATTTTTGATGTGGGAAAACGCTTGGAAATTTTACTATTCTTTCACAGTGATTTTTTTTCATATTCTGATATCAAATGTTTATGTGATCTATTGCATATATATATATATATATATATATATATATATATATATAAAAATTTTTAAAAATTAATATATATATATATATAACATGGTGTTGGGGTGTGGTGTATTTTTCTTTTTATAATATATTAGGCAAATCATTGTGATAGGGGGACAAGGCCCTTTTTAATCACGTCTGTGGACTGAGAATATATATGATAAAAAACGTGTTCTAAATGATAGTTGTTGGTTATGTCAGCATCGCAAAGTGTACAGCATGTGGCATGTTGGGATCATGTTATTGGGGACCCTCATGGTACACTGGTCGAGTACTACTTTTTGGTTTTGACTTACCGGGACTCCCGATAACTCTAAAAATGTAGTATTAGTATTAAAATTATTTATTGACATCTTAATGAAAAAGTTTTAAATAATTGTTTAATGGATTATTATCAATCTCTTTGTGGCAGAAAAATACGAGCAAGATGAATCAGATTCTTGGAAAACTCTATGATAATATCACCCATTTTGACGGTGTTGATGCCCGGGGTAGCGCACTTGTAGTTCTCTGTCCCCAGGACTACGCTTAAACTTGGTCTTGGGGGCCTGCCTGTTCCAGGGAAAAAGTTTTAAAATATCTTTTTTTTTCAATTTCAAAAAATGATTGTAAGGCCAAATTTTGGAATTTTAAAATATTTTATAGCTTTACCCTCTGTAAAGGGAAGCCTTGTGCTGGTGAAGGGTCTCTGACCGGGCAGCGGGGGCCCCTGACCCTGAAACCCCCTCCAGGGATCCCAATAAGAGACGGGGCTACCTCAACATCCTCAGAGGAGAAAGTTTTCACAGGGGAAAAGGACAAGAGATGGGAAGGGAAAGGGTTTAACGTGATAAAAAAAATCAAGAATTAATAATTGCGCCAAATAAAAAAGAAAGAAACTGGGGAAATTATTCAGAGAAGAAGGGAAAAAGAATCCAGACACCTCACAGAAAAAGACAATTGTCGGGTTTCTAATATGGCTAGAGGATATTTTAAGTTTCGGCAATGGAAGCTACAATATGGGAAGAGTATGTTGGGATCAACACACCAGAAAATTTTTAATATGCTTTTTAAAAAAAAACATAAGTCACTTCCACCCAAAGATGTGCAAAACTTTACTGGTTTATAGAAAGTTATACCCTTTGTTGTCCCGACTACCACGGAAGGCTATGAGAAATAAAAATAAAAAAGGGGGGATGGGGGAATCAGTGGAAGGTCGAGTTTGGGGACTAAAAAAACCCCCAGGAACGGGTTATCAAATGTAAGACCCCCGTCGGGAAATATTTTACTTGTTTCCTGCGAATCTTAACCAATAAACTTACTAGGGTAGGAATGGAATCAAAAGGAAGAGAGCGCAACAACAATAAAAACCATCCAAGAAATTGCATCAAACCCTAAATATTTCAACCATGGGAAAACCCAAATTAAGAATCACCCGTAGAAATTTGGGCCCCTATTAAGAGGTTCATACACTGATACGAGAAAAAAATGAACCCGACATTACATTTTTTGTACCTCATAAGCACAAAACCCTAGAAATTAAAAAGAAGGAAAGCATACCCAAAAGGTGCAGCACCCGGGGTAGTCTTTTGGTACTCCCGAGCATTCAGCATAGTTCAGAAAGGCCCAGATGAGGTGAAATCTCAGGGTCCTAAAAAAAAAGGCATAGCTAGTCTGCACAAAGGGAAAAGTAGACCCGGCAAAAAGAAAAAAAAAAACATGGAACCTCTACTTCGAGTTTAAACCACTCCATGACCTTGCTCGTAACTGGATTTGCTCTTTGCGAAATCAATTTCCCCATTTAAATTAATGAAAAGCATTTTAATTTGTTTTCCCGGGGGAATTTTGTATTCAGTTATTTCGCTAAAATGAAATCATTCGGCTTATTTATCTACTCACTTCATCTAATAATAAATAAACATAAAAAAACAATATAAAAATCATAAAACCTAATTACCTAAAATGAATAAAAAATGACATTTATGTAGTGTAGGGCAGTGGACGAGAGTTTTCGGGAACCAGGCAAAATACTTTATGAATAAATTTTGCTAATATCTTATATGCTTTTTATTTTTCACAGTTATCTAATATACATAACAAACAAAATAAATAACATACAAACATATAAATTAAATTTTTAATTTTTTTCACACAAAAAAAATAAGATTTATGTTATTCTTATTCAATGATTGATAAATAAAGTCAAACCCATTCACGACACATACTGGAATGGACAGTGACTCTTTGTTTACCTGATACGCCAAGAAGGACCATTTTCCTAGGTGAGTCAATTCAAGGCACTTTTTCTTTTAAAGCAATCAAAAACATACTTTTTTTGTAAAATATTTACTTCTATCAAAGAACCAAAAAAAAAGAGAATACAACCCTAAAAACCATTCGAAAATTTCACTAAGGGGGGGCTAAATTTCTGAGATAACTCCATTATTTATGCTTATATTTGAGTAGACTTTAGGAGTACTTTTTTGAGGGGCCCCAATAATCAGATCACTTTTAGTTGTAGCTACATGAGAGTAAAAGGTAATGGGTACAAGGAGAATAGAAGCATCAGGGAAAAGAGGGAAGGTTTATTAAACTAAAGAGGGCAGTTAGGGGAAGTATAAACAGCTATTGGAGGATAGATGGGCTAATGGGAAAACATAGGCAATGGGTCGAAAAAGGTATGGGGGAGGTTTAAAAATTGTGTTAGAGTGTTCAGCAGAAGTTTGTGGTTACAGGAAAGTGGGTGCGGGAGGAAGAGGACGTTTGGTGGAATGATGATGAAAGAGAGTAGTAAGGGAGAAAAAGTTAGCATATGAGAAGTTTTTACAAAGTAGAAGTGATGCAAGGAGGGAAGAGTATATGGAGAAAAAGAGAGAAGTTAAGAGAGTGGTGAAGCAGTGTAAAAAAGAGCAAATAAAGGAGTGGGTGAGATGTTATCAACAAATTTTGTTGAAAATAAGAAAAATTTTTTGGAGTGAGATTAACAATTTAAGAAAGCCTAGGGGAACAAATGGATTTGTCAGTTAAAAATAGGAGAGGAGAGTTATTAATTGGAGAGTTAGAGGTATTGGGAAGATGGAAGGAATATTTTGAGGAATTGTTAAATGTTGATGAAGATGGGGAAGCTGTGATTTTCGTGTATAGGGCAAGGAGGAAAAACATCTTGTAGGAGTGAGGAAGAGCCAGTTGTGAGTGTGGGGGAAGTCGTGAGGCAGTAGGTAAAATGAAAGGGGTAAGGCAGCCGGGATTGATGGGATAAAGATAGAAATTTTTAAAAGCAGGGGGGGATATAGTTTTGGAGTGGTTGGTGCAATTATTTAATAAATGTATGGAAGAGGGTAAGGTACCTAGGGATTGGCAGAGGGGCATGCATAGTTCCTTTTTTATAAAGGCAAAGGGGATAAAAGAGAGTGCAAAAATTATAGGGGATAAGTCTTGAGTGTACCTGGTAAAGTGTATGGTAGAGTTATAATTGAAAGAATTAAGAGTAAGACGGAGAATAGGATAGCAGATGAACAAGGAGGCTTTAGGAAAGGTAGGGGGTGTGTGGACCAGGTGTTTACAGTTGAAACATATAAGTGAACAGTATTTAGATAAGGCTAAAGGGAGGTCTTTGTGGCATTTTTTGGATTTGGAAAAGGCTATGACAGGGTGGATAGGGGGGCAATGTGGCAGATGTTGCAAGTGTATGGTGTAGGAGGTAGGTTACTGAAAGCAGTGAAGAGTTTTTACGAGGATAGTGAGGCTCAAGTAGAGTATGTAGGAAAGAGGGAAATTTTTTCCCAGTAAAAGTAGGCCTTAGACAAGGATGTGTGATGTCACCGTGGTTTTTTTAATATATTTATAGATGGGGTTGTAAGAGAAGTAAATGCGAGGGTCTTGGCAAGAGGCGTAGAGTTAAAAGATAAGAATCACACATAAAGTGGAGTTGTCACAGCTGCTCTTTGCTGATGACACTGTGCTCTTGGGAGATTTTGAAGAGAAGTTGCAGAGATTGGTGGATGAATTTGGTAGGGTGTGCAAAAGAAGAAAATTAAAGGTGAATACAGGAAAGAGTAAGGTTTATGAGGATAACAAAAAGATTAGGTGATGAAAGATTGAAATTCAGATTGGAGGGAGAGAGTATGGAGGAGGTGAACGTATTCAGATATTTTGGGAGTGGACGTGTCAGCGGATGGGTCTATGAAAATGAGGTGAATCATAGAATTGATGAGGGAAAAAAAAAGTGAGTTTGGGGCACTTAGGAGTCTGTGGAGACAAAGAACTTTGTCCTTGGAGGCAAAGAGGGGAATGTATGAGAGTATAGTTTACCAACGCTCTTATATGGGTGTGAAGCGTGGGTGATGAATGTTGCAAACGAGGAGAAGGCTGGAGGCAGTGGAGATTCATGTCTGAGGCAATGTGTGGTGGATATAATGCAGAGAATTCGTAGTTTGGAAGTTAGGAGGAGGTGCGGGATTACCAAAACTGTTGTCCAGAGGGCTGAGGAAAGGTTGTTGAGGTGGTTCGGACATGTAGAGAGAATGGAGCGAAACAGAATGACTTCAGTGTATCAGTCTGTTGTGGAAGGAAGGCGGGGTAGGGGTCGGCCTAGGAAGGGGTTTGGGGGGAGGGGGTAAAGGAGTTTTGTGTGCGAGGGGCTTTTATTTTTCCCGGGAGCATGCGTGAGCGTGTTTGATAGGAGTGAATGGAGACAAAAAGGTTTTTAATACTTGACGTGCTGTTGGAGTGTGAGCAAAGTAACATTTATGAAGGGATTCAGGGAAACCGGCAGGCCGGACTTGAGTCCTGGAGATGGGAAGTACAGTGCCTGCACTCTGAAGGAGGGGTGTTAATGTTGCAGTTTAAAAACTGTAGTGTAAAGCACCCTTCTGGCAAGACAGTGATGGAGTGAATGATGGTGAAAGTTTTTCTTTTTCGGGCCACCCTGCCTTGGTGGGAATCGGCCGGTGTGATAATAAAAAAAAAAAAATTTCTTTCATTTTTGGTGTACGTTAAGAAGCATCTTTCCATCATACATTGCCCAAGTTTCAATAAGATAGTCCAACAAACAACTGAGATACAATTCCCGAGATCATGAGCAAGAGCCCCTCACCAGTGTCAAGGAACCTGCCTTTAGGTCTGCTCGCTTATGGAAATTTTGATTTTGGTCGCGTACGGAAGCAAAAAATCAACACATCGACTGTTCGTATTTGGAAAAACTCGCACATGGATACGCTCGCAGGTAGAGGTTCCAATGGCCAGTAGCGCTAACATCACAGACAAAAATCTTTGACAGGGGTGCTGAGATGCCAATTAATAAATTTGACTCAGAGCAAAAAGATCATGCTTGTCACTACTGATTCATAAATTAAGGGGGT